AATATGTGATGCAGTAGTTGCTTTAATTTATGAAATGTTAAAATGAAGATTACTACAGATTTCTCACGTGCACCATATTTCTTTTCTAGATATCGTGCTGTACTTTATCCCTGTCCAGACACTGCCACAAAAAGGCAGGAAATGGCTATTGGAGTAAATACAAGCATTGAGGATATTCAAACAGTGAGTGGTTTGTGCTAGATACAAACCTTATAACCCAGCTGCACTTAAATAGTAGCTTAACAGGTAAAAGGTAAGGTGGAGTCTGTACATACGAGCCAAGTGGCCCATCAGGCTGGTGCTTATCCCAGCTTCAGTAGTGTGAAGTGACTAAGAATACTTGTGCTCCCCCCTGAATGGGATATGCCAGTCCATCGCAGGGTTACCCCCCCCCAGCATTAAGTTCGCGGGTACCCAGTTGTACACCTGGGTGGAGAGAGGCACTGTGGGAGGAAAAACAGTATCTTGCTCAAGAGCAGGACAATGTCCCCAGCCAGGGCTCAAACCACGATCCGGAGTTGAGTGCGCTAACCATGGCCATGAGGCCACAGTTCTCCCATTAATATGATATGACCACCTTGCTTTCTATTACTAACAGTCATATTTTTTCCTCTTCACACTTAAATTATTCAATGAAATGTAGCACATATTGTTAAGGGTAGTCTTAAAACATGTGTTGTTAAACTATGCATAGTTTTTCATTTGGTGGATTTAATCACTGTGTAGGCTGATCTACTTGCACACCTACATGAGTATATAATCAACAACAGATTCATTAATCACACAAGGAGCTGGTGATATGCAGCTGCTCTTAGTAGATGATTGCACAAATACTGTAGTAACTTAGCAGTGTTTTATTGTGCACAGAATAGCATATTGAATGGGATATTCTACCACTGTGCGACTGAAAGAAATTTGAATGTGAAGGTAAATTAATCAACATGACACAAGTGTGGGACAAAGAAAAATTCTGAGTCCCCGACAGGAATCGAACCCATGACCTCCCGACACCGGGCGAGTGCCCGCCCAGTGTCGGGAGGTCATGGGTTCGACTCCTGTCGGGGACTCAGAATTTTTCTTTGTCCCGCACTCATGTCATGTTGATTAACTCACCTTCACATTTCAATACCAAGCTTAAAATTCACCATCTTTATCAACTTATCACTACTCTTGAAAGAAATTTATTATAATATTCAATTGAATAGTGATCAAAACAATACTTCATTCTACTGATTCTTTCCGATTTTCATAGGTACTGAATGAAACACGTGTCCATCGTCATCAGTTGTTGGTGACTGTAGCCAAGAACATTAAACAGTGGTTCATCAAGGTAATCAATAATTAACAATAGTCACAGATTGAAAAAAAACAAACAAACAAACCAGAAGAGATCGCAATTTGTGGGCATTGAGAAGTACATTGTAGGATACAGTCAACTCACTGCTAACACACAGCTTTTCAATAACTCCCCCAAGTGTCTACTTTCTTATAGTGGATCAACCCTCCCTGTGTGTAGCTGAAACTATGGACACCTATTTATCAGTGGAATCAGCTTATCAATGGACTTCTCCTAAGTGCATGATCACTTTGTCACAGTC